TCTCACGAGCCACCGTAAGGCGACGAAGCACCATTGACGCCAACAGTCTCGTTACGACCGGGGTCAAGCTGATCCCCCTGTAGTCACCACACTCACTACGCGCACCTTTTTTTGAAAACGGACACTATCACCGACTCTCCCCAGTTGTCTGGGACAGACTCCTTTTCCCAAATGCAAGCAAACAGATCGGACAGGCGCTGACTAACAAGCGCAGCTGAGTTTGCTGGTAATGGCTTGCTTCACTACGCAGCTGAGTTTGCTGGTAATGGCTCTCATGCTTCACTACCAAGCCTTTGTTTGACCTATTCTATCTCCTTTCCTTCGGGGAATTCGGTCAACTGGCATACGGAACACGTGGCATAGCCAGCGCAACCTATACCATACCCTACGCCGGATGGAAATATCACCTGCGAGATAACCGGGACTGATACAGCTGCCTAGAAGGACAAATTTGTGTACTACTTTAATCGGCTCATCCGCAAGCACGAGTTAAGGTTCCGAGCTTACGCAGCCTTGCAGTAGCAATTTGAACTTTACTGGTGGGAAGCATATTTTAAACCATGAGACGGAATTATTTAGGTTATTTAATACTACTTGCATTACAACGGGGTTAGATACAAGAAGAGCTACGTCGTCTGCGTACTCGATAACTATGAGTGGACGCTCCGGGAGCATTTCGACCCCACAGGCATCAGAAGCTCAAGGTGGGTCTTCCAAGACCGTACCAATGACGAAGTGGGAAAAGAAAGGTTAAAGAGGACAGCCCCGCCTGACATCAGCTGATCTGCTGAAGTCAGACCAGGTTCCCGTAGGCCTTCACGCGGCCCCGAGAGTTTGTGTACAGCGCCCTAAGAAGCGCCAGAAATCTATGCTGGATGCATTTGCTCCACAGACACCACCGTAGCAAGGCTGAAAGTCTTATCTGCCGGACGATGATCGGACACCAATTAAGTAGATTGGCGCAACAATCGCTCCCTTCAAAGGGGAGGGCAGGTTGAACAAACTATAAAAAGCGCCGTTATTGAGTTAAAATTTTCATTACAACTGAACATGTTTTTTCTAAAAAAGCATGGCACACACGTAGGTAAATAACGATTAAAATCGCATTCACTTTGTGCGCACCAAAACGAGGTGCACGTGAGCACTGGAAGCGCGCGCTAATTGCAGCAGGTTGGACTCCCGGTGCATTGAAACAAGAACGCATTCACTAATCAGCAGATGATTTGTATCATTGAATGGTTGGCCACACATCCTGAGCTGATATTTTAGTAGCTTACAGCTGATTTCGTGAACTGCTTTTGTAGTGTGTTGTATGAAGCACTCTTAGGGGAGGCCCATTGGCCGTCCAATTCTGTTGGCTGCAAAACCTTTGCAAGTGGAATTGAACATTTTTGCTCCGAAAATTTGAACTTCGTTACCTGTGGGTTCAAAACAAAGCTTATTTTAATCTACGACCACATTTCTGCAGCTCCCCTGGTTCTGTAGTTAGCCAAGGTATCCAATATACGCACAATGGAACTGAAATTTCGAGGGCTATGACGAGCTCCTGATTCACGGATTCACGGATTGATACACAGGATCGAGGCTATTGCCCAAGTTTCCAGGGTCGCTTTTGTTCTCGTCAGTCAGTGGCTCTCGTTCACCTGAAAGGCACAAGTGAAAAAAGTGTTTAGCACTGCTCTTTATATTCTCAGCGTGGAGCAGTATGCTCGCCAGCGTGAGGATTCGCATAAACTGGGTTCTAGAAGGGGCGTGGACAACCGGCGGAGGAAGGTAATTCCACGAAGCTACTAAACGAAGTGAGAAAAATTCGTCTAATGAATGTTTGCGCTCTGAGCTCGAAAATTCTCTTACTATGTCCCTGCCGGGTGCTTGCTGGGTCAGCAGTGAAAAACCTGTTGGCCAAGCTTTGTACAAACAGGGCGTAAGAAATAGGTCTTCTCGGAGGCGACGGCACTCTAGGGAAAAAAGATTGAGCAATCGAGCACTTGAGTTAAGAGTAACAGTCCAAACTTTTAAGCCCCATTTAGGCGTCCAGGTGTCTCAGCGATTCTGAGCAATCATCCCGCAAGACTTTTCAGCCAGGGGTACCACTGCCTCATTAAGCAATGAAATTCGGTAGGCTGCAAAAATGTGACGGTAGATTAGGATGGTTTTAGTTTGCGCAATACACAGCGAAATGCACTTTCCGATGTAAAGAGTGTTTCTCCATTTTCAAAGATTCTACAGCTGAGAGCGTTGCGCAGATAATTGGGACATTATTCATAACCTGAGCGTAGAAAACTGGTAGAATACTTCCATCGGGATGCCAAAATGGGGCTCAGAAGCTTGGACTCGTACTCTGAACTCAATTACCCGTTTCTTTCAGTCTATCGGGGACACGTCGTGTCTTTCGAAAATCAAAAACAGATATTTCCGAGAAATTCACTCATTTGCAAATCAGTTTGGTTTTCACAGCTGCGCTGATACAGAGCGCCCTACTAAGGACATCGATTTCAGCAGCCGCTCACAAGAAATAAACCCAAACTTTTAGGCGGAACTATGCAGTTTTCCAAGTTTTGACTTTTACGGTCATTAGGTCTGGCTTGCTCGGAGGTTTCGGTGATATGTTGTGCTTATCATTCTGTTTATGTGAGTGAATTTTCAAGGCAATTGACCACTACAGGTTCTCACTTCCCGACGGGTTCAATCGCTGACAAGATGCATTGAAGTGCCTTATACAAAACACCACAAAAGCACCTCATGAAATTAGGTGAAAGCTACCAAAATATCAACTCGGGATGTGTTGTCCACCAGTCAGCGATGCAAACCACCTGCTGATTAGTGAGCGCTTTCTTGTTCCCGACGGGTTCAGGCACTGACAAGATGCATACCCAAATTTTCCGCCTAATCTGTGGTGTTTTCCAAAGTGTGACTTTAACGGGTCTTAGGCCAATCCATTAGCACCTTGCTGTGGAACATCGCAAGATTTCAAGGCCATGAACCATCACCGATTCGCATTTTGCTACCGGTTTACGCGAAATACAACACGACATCGCACTTCAGCATATTTTGGCGCTCTTCGGGATTCTCAAAATTAAGCTGCCTCCCCGCCACGGAAATCCCTTCGGTATAAAATCTTTCTGCTGTCGCCGTCATTACACACAATCGTCGGTTCCATTTCAACGCCTTAAAAATTGATATCACCACCACCCAAAATGTCCCTTACGCGCTGGTCATCCCGAACCGTTTCTTGATGCGAAACTTTGGACGTGTTTATGGTTCAGGAGCAATTACTAACAAAAGTGCATAGGTCGGGAAGGCCGTATCGCGTACATAATGTTGTGCGGCTCTGACCAGTAAGTGCGGAGCGTATTCAGTCAGCAGATATAATAAGAGTGGTGTCACTCGCTCCCTGGCCGTTCGATTCTTCCGTCCATTCGTCGGGCTGGTGGGGTATAAACACAACGCAAGTCATTCTCCAAAAGTTTCTCCCCATTTAACCGTTTCGCACCTCAAAAACATGTTACTCCTATAGGATCACCAAGGGATCAGCCTACTCCACAGACCCCTCGTTATCTCCACAAGACTTCACGGCCCCAAACACCCTTCCACTACACCATAAATCATATTCCCCACATTTGACAGCCTTCCACCTTGAACGAAAAAGCTAAACAGCTGCACTATGAAAGCCTCTTTTGCATCCAACGGAAATGCCAAGTTCGTAAATGCAAGTATGTAACCAGACTTCGGATGGAAAGCTGTAGTGGGCTATCCAGATCTCCCTAGCCAAAATCGTGAACAGTAGGTTTGGACGGATTTATTTTTCAACAGTCCTGAATGTATACACAGAAAAGTGATATCAAGCTACGTAAAACAGGATAACCTCCAAAGTTGTCTTAAGGAACCCAGTTAAGTGCATGTAGAGCTAAGTATACAGGATATTAGTGATTGCGTAAAGCAAACATTGGTTTCAAATATGTTGCACATGAATTCATATCACGCAATTGAAATAGTGATACAGAAAGAAACGACTAACGTGACTGGCTTCTAACATCGCCACAATGTCACAGCGTTGCAACTCCTCCACTTTCAGAATTCGACGGACTCAATTCGTTTGAATATATCGAAATCCTATGCGTCTCCATTAGCTCTTTTTTGACCATTTCAATCGGGATGGAGGTGATGAAACGCACAATCACTCCAGCAGAGACAAAAGAATACCTATCAAAAAATGGAATCCCACAGTTATTCGAGGTGTGTTTACGTGTTGCATTGATGACAGCATGTGGAGGTAGTACGTTTCTGTTGTGGTTGTGACGGAAATTTTGTTTTTATTCACATAATAACTTTGGGCAAAATAGCATAGTCCGGTTACCGTCTTATGACCCCATAGAAACTATATCCCATTAGTTGGTGTGGTGTAATTTGGACAGTTGTAGTCTCAATTCTAGCAGCGGTGGGGCGTCCGTTTTTGGTTGTTACTGTTTCCATATTTTTCAAGCCCTCAGATACGCTTTCTGCCGCACGGTGTCTAGTTTTTGATTTCCCATTGGAACGAGATCTGCGGAACTAGGCCTGTCTCGGAACTGCGATATTGTAATTGTACCAGTGGGTCTGTTCCTACATCTCGGCCTTTTAGTTCAGTCCTGCAAACAATAGGCCCTCCATATCCTTCTCAGTCAACTTCTCAAGCGTGATTATAAGCTAAGTGGATCTTGGCCCTGGACTCAGTCCGGTGGAAGTTAATCGCACACCTTCCCACTGGTATGGCTTTGACAGGTTCGTTGGTTGTTGAATTGGGACTTTTTTTAGGTAAGCGACAGAATGTGGAGGAACAGCTGACCCTCAACATTTGTGGTGATAAGTATCACGGGATTAGTCGTATATACTGGATCGTAATGTCAGCAATAATCCGCGCAACTGTACCAACTCGGTGAATGGCTGACTTCTCATCCGAAACAATCAGGAAGGCTAAGATGCTGCCAAATCGCCAATAATCCAAACGGGAGCAGTCAGGATGCCGTGGTTGCATTCCAACCACGTACCTTCTGGTCATTGGCTTTTCGCCTTAGCACAGCCAGTGGTAGCTCGACCAAGCCATAGAAGCACCACTGAATCTGTTGTAACAAGTCAAATTATGACCAAATTATCCGACAGATATTAGGAATCTGAGGTACTGTAGGTCATTTTGCGATAAATTTACGTGGCCACGTGTCTGACATAGTTATGGCTTGTTTGGTGGAGAAAAACGAAGATCGATGATTAGCCAGTCAGACAGCAGTGATTTAATTGAGCGAGGAAATTTAACGCTATAATGTGAGTGAACAATCCTCAAGATCACGACATATCACGAGAATGTGGGCCTGTAAGCACCAAACAATGGTATTTATTGGCGTTAAGTAGGACTGAGGGATGCTGCCAAGCGTGCCACCTAAGTATGCACGAACATGATTTTTAGAATGGTTGGCACTAAACTGAAGATATTCTAATTTTATTGTACCTGTGTGGGAACAGCCCGCCGGTCAGAAGTTGTCAGCATGGTTCATTTGAATGCATCAACATTCATAGCACATACTATCGTCTTATGAAGTTTCACAATCGACGGAAAAATTATGGCGGACCAAGATCGCATACCTGTTCTGGAATACTTTGAATTCGCACTCACGGAACTTGTTAGTGTGGATCGTGGTGAAAAAACTTAAGTCGAGAGATGTTCTGAAAGAGACAGAAGTTTAGAAAGGTACAACCACGAACGTCTGGATGTAGGGCGGAATATAAAGCTGGGATAGTAATTATGGATAAGATAAGTGATGAATGCGCGGAACAATTTTAGGTGCTCTCTGCTGGATATTTTTGCTAAAAATGGCCTCAGTGTGCTTAGGCTAGGGATCTCACGCTACCTATAAATTGGCTGGACACAGGTGGCCTACAGTTTTAGTTCTTATTGTCAGTTTCTATCCAGATTGCCCGAATGAATGTAGGCATCTTGGAATAATTGTAGTAAGCCATCAATGAGTCCCGTTCCTGCTCCTTTGTTTTTTTCACAATGAGCCCTTCAAATAAATCATGCATGTATGGCAGTGAAGCATCAGTACTGGACACTGATGTCGTTTTGTCCATGATGATGGTAATGAATTGCTAGCAGAGGTTCAGCCTGATGGCTCAACAATCGCACACGAGCAAAAACGCGCTGTTGCAGAAATCGAAGCACTTATCACAACCATCATCAGGCCTTAAGGTAACACTGCAAACTGGGATAAGGGCAATGTGGACTGTCTACAAGACAAGCAATGCTCCGCATCATAAATGAAGCTTTCCGAGATCATACTGAAAATCATTAGATCACCCGGAAAAGACGGACAGGTTCTAACTGTTTGGAGATCACACAGGACCGGCGTTAATGTGATTCTACAACAAAAGTCCGTGAATGCGGAAAAATTCAGCAGTTATTGCTACGGGAGCAGTGGGTCTTTTATACTGAGTAGTGGATAACGGAAGACCCATACGTCTTAATGTGGCAGCACTCAAAACGTTAGGAGAAATATTCAGAAAATACCCACCCATAGTTTTGTGGTGTTTTCCATTGGCCCATTATGAATGTGCTCGTAGAAAATCTTGCGTCACAAAACAGCTAACAGCACTGTAACCATGGTGTAATCTCAAGAAGCACTATTAGACTATCCAAACAGTATTTGAGAAAGCATCCAATGTCGTTGACTATAGCATGCTACTGCAAAAACAATTTAAAATCTGGAATAAGAGAATCCGCCTACAAACAGACGGACGCTTTTGTCAGCCAAAGAAAATTAAGGATAAAAATCAAAGAGGAATACCCGCCAACAAAACGACTCATTGGTGGGATCCCTCCCAGTTATCCTCAGTCTGCAACCACTCAACTCAATATTCCCCTGTTTTACCAACTCAGCTCACCACGCATGCTGCTTACTCAAGACAGTGATCTTTAGAATGTGAAGTAGCATCAGGGATGTTAGAGGTAGCAGGGTAACAAATTAGTGACAAATTAGTGCAATGCTGAAAAAGATAAAAACAACTGGTTAAAGCCAACAAAACTTAGGTCAGAGTAATTACTCTAGTGAGCGAGACGCACACATACATAATTGTGGGCGAGCCCGTACAACTGGTACATATTAGGGAAACTCAAACGAAACAATCCTAAAATCCATGCTGGCATGACGCAGGCACAAGATCAAGGTCTCGAGATCCTTTGGATAATCAGGTGGTCCTTCCAAACGTGGAGCCCAACGCCTTTTAGAATGCCGATCTCTACGTACATTCAACCTGAAATCGAGTACGAGCATGCGGTTTACTGTCTAAAGGCGAAAGGTAAGCTCTGTAGTAGGTGCGGCAGCTAGGACTGCTTGGTATATAACGGATGGATAGACGGACGGACTGCCTCACATCTATGGGCTCTCCGGATGCATAAATTTTAACTGAAACAGACTTCCAGTGGCAGTGGTTGGAAAAACGATCACTAAATGTTAAAAATATCTGCCTCCTTACTATTTTGCAACTCCCGCAACAAAAGCTGGAACAGGAAGCTTGGAACATTTAACTTGAATGGTGTGGTGTAATAGTGGAGAATTAGGAGTCAAGAGTAGATGTACTCGATCCACATCCAGCACCGCCTTCGAATTACTGAAGCTCTTATGACGTTTCTTCTTTCCAAAAACCTTCTGCAACCAACTCAACATGCCTCATTCTGTCTTGCTCTTGCCTTATCAGCCTAATTATTTTAAACTGCGTCCTCAAAAACGTGGCCACGTCAAATGTGGTAACCATTTGTCTGTCTCACTTTTTCGGCATACAAATTATTTCAATAATATTTGGATTACGTGATATTCCAGATTTTTTCTTTGTGGAACATCTGTATTCTTTGTTGTGCAAAGTTTGCTTGGTAAAGGCCCGCCCTGGTTTTTTCACCCGAACTTATACCACAGCCAACGACCTGAATTCGGCATTTGACAGTGCCATTCCTAGTAAGTTGTATAATGCGAAAAGCGTGTTGGTGCGTTGCATATCTTTTTCATTGTGTACAAAGAAAGCATAGCAAAACGCACACAGCTTTTGTGACTTCTTTTCATGAAGTTGTCCATGTATTACTCCGACAAACGTGGATACAGGATTGCAACTTTTTGATGAAGGATTTTTTTGAAAGATGTCATTCCCTGCGGTTGTTGCCATGCCTAACCGACTCCCCCGGACAATGAGCACGCTACCTGGTGGACCCAGAAATAAAATGGATACGTCATCACTGAACTTGAATTTCGAAAACCACTACTATGGGATAAAATGAAATGAAATATTTATTGAAAAAGGCTCCCAAAATTCTCGTGGTGGTTTTTTGTGCACAACTAGTCACTCGGACGTTCTTACAAGGTCGTTTTTAAGGTTTTCGATAATAGATCTGATCTTGCTGACCGCTCGGTATCATTATATTTGCTTTTGTAAGGTCTGGTATATTTTATATTCAGTCACCTGTGGGTCTAGTCCATCACTGATAAGATGTCCGTTCAAGTACTGGAGGACAAGTGTAGCGTCTCATTGTCATCAGAATGAACTTCTCACCAGAGCTTTACGCACAGTACGTCTACAGTATACCAATTTCATTATTCGAGCATGATCCCTTATTGCTCTGAAGTGACTGCGCCCCGTATAACCTTACCAGTTGTGCTTAAATTTTCTCACTAAATACCGGATAACTATGACCTAGTGCCAGAGAGTGACTTCAATACGGTGCGAAAGCGGTTACGAAAGTTCTTGACACCGTCAGTGCCACTGGCCTTCCATGATGGGGTCTGCATGATACCATGCGCATAAATGGAGACGCTGCTAGGTGTGGCTGATAATCGATGTCACTGGTGTTTTTATTGTCAGTTTCCAGGGGCAGTTTTTGTTTATATAGCAGTGAAGTACCAGTGCCGAATGTGGATAACCTGTTGTTAATGGCGTTGATTCCGAGCACGAAAACACTTCACAGGGGTAACGAAATAAACCGGTTGCTTAACTTTTCGTCCTCTTGGTTTTTTAGTTGGACAGTGGAAAGCCCGTGACCCAAATCGTTTTTGTATGGGTGTATTTTCACTACTCACTCATTGCTCAGGCTAAGTAAGCCCTTGAAACATCCGTGTTCCCTATGTCGTAAACAAGAAGGATAATACCACACAGTTTTCTTAATATGCACTTCTGTTCTTACTCTACTGGAAGTCATGCCAGGCTCTTAACAAACTTTAAAT